CAACTATCCTTTCTCTAACAAAATCTGACAATTCGAGAGAACTTTGAGTTCTAGGCATGTTGATAATTAGTGTGCGGACCATTTTCATTTATATAATGCTCTGTGAACACAAATTAGTTAGCATAAATCAGTTAAATGACGAAAAATTAGGTGTCTATTTACTTGTGACCACGCTGTGTATGTCTGGTTCTTGTTCTTGCTTCACTTTATTTATATGAACAAATTGATTTCACTTGTTCTCTGACAGTTATTTATGCTCTCGTATTTTGAAGTGCTGCTCCAAACCCCTTCGCGAACCCTTGTACATCTAATAAGACATTTTGTAAACATATCGTATTTGTAAGTTTTCGAGAGGCGTCTCCTACTGCTTATGGCTGGCTTAGATTTTTAGATCTTTCTCAATTATAGTATCCACTTGAAGATCGCGAGATCTGTGCAAATCACATTTAGCTGGTGTGATCCTATAGATCCAATAGCTGTGTATTTTCTATAGCTGAGAAAAATATCTAAGTTGTTAGACAATTGCTAGTATTTGAAATTAGCGGAAAATAACATAATAATACTACAAACCGTAATCTTCCACTGGTAGACCCAAGTTGTGCATTCTTGTCCGCACCATGTTACAGATCTCTTGTCTTTCTACATCAGCAGCCAGAGCAGCCCTATCACTATCGAGAAGCTCCAGGGATAACTTCAAGAAAAAACGTTGGAAAAGTTGTGACACAAAACATCCTTCGTTATGTTTATTTTCATTCTTAAAATATCATCATAATATATAATCTAAAAACTATATCTTCTTTCAAAAATTTCACTGAAAGTGATGCTACACTTTACCAAGTTACTCCCTTATCTAACTATCTATTGATTTAATAATCTTACAGAGGAGGCATCAGACAAGGAACTCTGGGTTCGACAAATTCCTATGGGTACTTCGCATGTTGTAGAACACAACTTCTGATAGAGACGTCCGTATGTTCTGATCCACAGATCTTCTTCTGATATTCTCATCTATTCATACAACAACGAACACAGGGCTGTTTATTAAATAATCTTAGATAGTTGTCCCAGGACTAAATTATCACACCAATTTATTATTACGTAAGTTTCTTCTATGCAACAACACCAAGTGGAAAAAGGAAAACAAAGCCTGTTAACCAATATCTTAATATCTATATACGCTATTAATAATTACCCTTACTATTGGCGTCTATAATTATTCTTGTGCCACAACATAAGGGGAATATCACGTGATATTACCCGCCGTATTAAAACAAACAACACAACAGATCCTTCGTGACTGAATCTATCAACAAGTCAATAAAAAAAATGATATTTCAGGCGACTCCTGATGGTTTCATCGTTTAACTTTGATCACTGATAAACCACGTGGTTATCGAAAGAGACTTCCAACTGTTTCTACACCAAACACTGACACAGTTACCAACGAAATATTGATACATTGCATGATTTGAACACTTGGCTGTCAAAATAAATTACGGATGTGACGATAGTTGAAGAGGCGTTCTTATTTTGTGTTTTGTCTTCGGTTTAAAATATATATCCCTATAAACCCATGTTTCCTAATGGAAGGAATAATCCGTTAAGTTGTCATGGGGTTTCTTACTCTATAATTGACTACTGTCGTGTGTATAAATTGAGTTGAAGCTGACAGTGAATAAGACTAAAAAACTTTAAAAACGCAAACTTTTATACTGGCGTTATTTTGAATAAATATGTAAATCAATAAACAAAATCTTTATTTAAACCTACTCATGAAGTCAACTTGTATAAAAGTATAACGTTGCACACAGTGTACGACAATTCAACGGATTTACTTCGGTAAACAATGTTTTTTAAAAAGTGTATAACATCTGGACGTTTTATACTATAAAAAGGGATGTTTATTAAATAATCTTAGATAGTGGTCCCAGGATTAAATTATCAAACCAATGTATTATTATGCAAGTTTCTTCTGTTTGTTTGTTTGTTTTTAAGTTAAGCACAAAGCTACACAATGGGCTATCTGTGCTATGCCCACCACGGGTATCGAAACCCGGATTCTAGCGTTGTAAGTCCGCAGACATACCGCTGTGCTACTGGGGGGCGCAAGTTTCTTCTATGCAACAACACCAAGCGGTAAAAGTAAAACAAAGCCTGTTAATCAATATGTTATTTAAAGAGTTAGAATCCAAAATAAGTGCACCAAGGTAAATGATTTCCAAAATGAAAAGATTGATGAATGAAATCGAAAAGAGTCATCACGAATGAAAATACTTTATATCTTTGTCAATGATGTTATGTATATGCAAACTTACTGCGCCATGAAAAATGAAGAAATTTAACCATCATTAATTCAATGAACTTTTATCTGTAATTAACCATCATTAATTCAATGAACTTTTATCTGTATTAACCATCATTAATTCAATGATCTTTTATCTGTATTAACCATCATTAATTCAATGATCTTTTATCTGTATTAACCATCATTAATTCAATGATCTTTTGTCTGTATTAACCATCATTAATTCAATGATCTTTTATCTGTATTAACCATCATTAATTCAATGAACTTTTATTTGTATTAACTATCATTAATTCAATGAACTTTTATCTGTATGATAGAACTACAAAGGCTATCTTCTGCAGTCCCTAATTTTGAACTACTGACCAGAGGGAAGAGAGCCAGCCAGCAACATCCTACCACACACTTTATAACGCACCACAGCTTAATATGTGGAGGATATTTTGTGGTATCGGATGGTTTCAAAGCCGGCTCGTCAGTTCTGAAGTCCACATAGAATCAACCCGTGCCAAATTCAATAAACAAAATAAGTTAAATTACTTTCTATTAGATAAGACAGCTCTGGTTAAAAAGAAACTTAATGGCATAAAATGGATCATTAAGTTATTATTGGTTTATATATAAATCAAATAATCTGATATTTCAAATTTGACCTTGACTTCAATGAGAAAAAGTCATCTGAATGTCGGGAAAAAAATTCTCTAAAGACACACTTGAATACTTTGAAAGATATTCTATTGGGATTCCATTTTATCAGGGGAAATAACTTGGCAATTGATAAGCGAAATGCTGTTAAAACAACTCCAGTGGCATCATTTTCAACTTTAAACATAATGCTCTCTCTCTACCTAAGTTACCCTCGGGCAGATAAAACCATTTATATTTGTTTAATAAAACTCATTTGAATCTATTTCGTGAAGTCTTTCTTCAACTTGAGTAGCACTTTTCTGATTGGAGGACGCGATAAATTTAATATTTTATGTTGCTATTAACTACAGAGATAATAAATTCCATTGAATACTCTATGCCAATGAAGAAAGTACCTACCGAAGAAAGGAAACCTGAACCTGGAGCTTGGTCAATTCCAAGAAGCAACCTAATAAAGGTAATCATGTAATCCTTCACGAAAGCCTGGAAAATAAACTGTTAATTACAATATTTCATTATAAAAAATGTTTACACATTGAATTTGTTATTGCAAGATTTTTTAAAATAAAACTAGGTTTTTTAAATGTAAACCTGAAAAAATCTGATCTAGAGGCACAGTAGTGATTTCAAACAACTTTGAAAAAAATGGGATAACACTATTGGGACTATATATACAGGACTGGACTTTTGTCACAGCTGTTTCAAACGCTGGAATGCCACTATTCTTACGTTTCTGAACAGATACAAATACTCTCACATTACATTTAAAATAAATGATTATATACGTTGTTTGTTTTATTTTAAAAAATGAGCGGTCAAAGCGATATAAAATCATTTTTATTTATTTTCCTTCTCTTTGTTGAATAGTTCAGTAGCGTAATAAACCGAGGATAATAATTAGTAGATAATAATGTAAACCAAGTTTGACAGTTGTAGCACATATATTAATATTTTCTATGAAAATCTGTTTATGGTAAATTTTAATGGGGAATTGCTCTATACAACCATCAAGTTAAAAATGAGGACATAAGGATCTAGGGACAGACAAAATATCCGAAGGAATGAAAGAATGGTGTAATAATTTAGCACACTCTCCGTGACAGCTGGGGTTCGAATCTTACTTTAGGTGGAGTCTTAACTTTAATGAATATTAAAATAACATACCTTATTACATGTATTATATCTGTTATAGATTAAAAGAAATAAGTGTTAAAGAATGGTAAAAAAATGTTGATGTTCTTATCGTTTGCCTTCTTGGAAGAAACTTATTCAACCATTTTCCAATGCAACCGGAACAAGCAGCAACATGTATATTAAAAAGGGCCAAGTTTTCTTTAAATGTGTTCTTGTTCGGGTTATCCATTTTTGTGTTATGTCTTTAAAAAGTTTGGCCTTTCATATAATTTAGTTCATTTTTTGACATTACATCTTTAAATGGCTGACGAATTTATTCTAACTTGGCTGTTACTGTACATATAAAGTGTTTTGATCAGATATATTTGTTAGACAGCAATAACTATGGTACCCAAATCGGATAACCTGAATAAGATTAACTCATGAATTTACTTTGCTGACCAAGTCACTAATTCGTGTGTGTAATATTCAGGTTGTCCTTTATTCACCATTAACACATGAACTGACTTTGTTAACTAAGTCACTAATATTTGTGTGTAATATTCGGGTTGTCCTTTATTCGCAATTAAAACATGAACTGACTTTGTTAACTAAGTCACTAATACATGTATGTAATATTCGGGTTGTCCTTTATTCACCATTAAAACATGAACTGACCTTGTTAACTAAGTCATTAATATATGTGTGTAATATTCCGGTTGTCCTTTATTTATCATTAAAACATGAACTGACCTTGTTACCTAAGTCACTAATACATGTGTGTAATATTCAGGTTGTCCTTTATTCGCATTAAAACATGAACTGACTTTGTTAACTAAGTCACTAATACATGTGTGTAATATTCCGGTTGTCCTTTATTCACCATTAAAACATGAAGTGACCTTGTTAACTAAGTCACTAATACATGTGTATAATATTCGGGTTGTCCTTTATTCACCATTAAAACATGGAACTGACCTTGTTAACTAAGTCACTAATACATGTGTGTAACATTCGGGTTGTCCTTTATTCACCATTAAAACATGAACTGACCTTGTTAACTAAGTCATTAATATATGTGTGACTAATACATGTGTGTAACATTCGGGTTGTCCTTTATTCGCAATTAAAACATGAACTGACCTTGTTACCTAAGTCACTAATACATGTGTGTAATATTCAGGTTGTCCTTTATTCACCATTAACTCATGAACTGACTTTGTTAACTAAGTCACTAATTCCTTTATTCACTATAAATAACTTATATTGACTTAGAAGAATATTATTCACCTTCACAATTTGGTGTAGAGAGAGAAATAACACGTTAAGACAGCTAGACCACTGAAGAATTAGAAGAACAAATGCTACCTATTCTTATTGCTTGTAATGAGTGAAGAACAACCCAAACACTACAAACACGAATTACAGATCACCATTACGAGAATTCTGATCTTGTTCTTCGACCTGCTCTTGTCCACAATCGCTAATGACTACTAGAATTCTCCAATAATAGTCTAAGTGAAAAGTAACGAACCAAAAACAGATTGCGGCTTACACTTCTTTTTGCCGAAATGGCAATTCTAGTGGTGAAAAGAACACACTAAATGATCAAGCAACTCCCACAATAACCGGGTTGTCCAGCATTAATTAATGCAAAGAACAATAGTGAGTCTATACATATTTTTTTAAAATCAGTAGTTCATGCAGCAGCTTTGTTTAAGTCTGATGACCTCATATATATATTCTTTTCTGATATACATTAGGCCGTATTATCTCCTAAAATAGCGGTGTTAATTAAGTCTAGTGAATTGGTAGATAGCCTTATCTTATGCAACAGTTGACTTAAATGAGTTTGAATACTTCTTAAGCTGTATTATCCCGAACAATAATTATGTCAACCAAGTTTGACTCGTGTTTGTTTTATCTCACGTATACAATAATTATGTCAACCAAGTTTGACTCGTGTTTGTTTTATCTCACGTATACAGTAATTATGTCAACCAAGTTTGACTCGTGTTTGTTTTATCTCACGTACAGCAAACCTTAAACATTTTTTAGTCTAATAGTTATAATGTCACATTGTGCGTATACTGACCAAATGCTCTACATGTTTATAACAGTAATAGCTGTACTAACTTTATTCTTACCTGATAAAGTAGTGTATCCAACATACTAGCACTAAACACCGTTCCTGAAGCGAACGGAAGTCGGAACATGTAAGAGATGTGGGTTCCTCGTTCCTTCTCACGCTATAAAAAATATTGTATTAACCATAGTGAAAACGAAGTTTTTATTGTGAACATATCATCTAAACGCTATACATTTCGGATATTCAGAAAGATATCGTGACTAAAGGTTAATGTTTTGTATCTAAACGTATAAAAAGCGTCTAGAAACACGATAATGACTAGCATGTTTAACCTGTACTCTTAACTTCAAGATTCTGGGGTATAACGAAAACTTTGATTTTTGTTAACCACAAAGCTACACAATTGGCTGTTTATGCTGTACCCACCACGGGTATCTAATTCTGATTTTTAGTGTCATAAGTCCAGAGATCTACCGCTGAACCACTGGGGGACATGTAACGAAATAAAACAAGCACTGATATATAGATTAATAGGAGTACATATATATATATGAATACATATGTATGTGTGTGTGTGTACACCTGTACATTTCTTATGAAGACTTCTAATGTTAACCAAAGACTACTTTAAGTAATTGACACATGATTAATAGTTTTCATATTCTCTTATTTTGATAACTCTAACATGATTAATGGTTTTCATATACTCTTATTTTGATAACTCTAACATGATTAATGGTTTTCATATACTCTTATTTTGATAACTCTAGCATGATTAATGGTTTTCATATACTCTTATTTTGATAATTCTAACATGATTAATGGTTTTCATATTCTCTTATTTTGATAACTCTAGCATGATTAATGGTTTTCATATACTCTTATTTTGATAATTCTAACATGATTAATGGTTTTCACATTCTTTTATTTTGATAACTCTAACATGATTACTTCCATTTGCTTCGTTTTTTAAACTTCACACATTTGTATAATAGAGAGTATACTAGTTAAGGTATGAAAAACACTGCGAAGAAAAACGTCCCTAAAACTAATGTATACCATATTTATAGTTTGTATAAGTTTAATTAATCTTTTCACAATCATCTCGAGCATTGAAACTAATAAATACAATCTTTATAATTTGTACAAGTTTTTTAAACTTCCGACATCCGTCTCGGATGTAAAACTAATATATAAAAATGTACTGCTTTTATAAGTTTTGTTAAACTTCTCACAGTCATCTCGAGTATTAAAATCAATATATACAATATTCATTGTTTGTTTAAACTTCATCAAACTTTCATCTCGTGTATTTTCGGATTCATTTTTAGACTATGAACGTTTGAGGATTAGAGATTTTCAACTGTGTACTAAAAATTAAAAACTTATTTTAACCAATCTTAACCTTACTCTTACAACCTTCTACAGAAGATTTTATATTTTTAGTTTGTCCAGCTGTCTCCAAGTATTAAAAAATTTGTATGAAAGAAAAAGCGTGTTGTGGTTGAAACTAAGCAACTGAGTGATGCAGAAATGGTCTATAAATTTTAATTAGCAGATTTATGTAATAGTTATAAATTCCCACTAAAGCATCGGAAGCATTTCGATCATGAATTTTATTTCTTCAAGTTTTTAGTTTTTCCTTTATCGTATAAAAACTATAAAACTTCTACAAGAAAAGTTACTGAATATTGTGGACAACACCACGATATGATGAATACAAAGACATTAAAGATTAATTTATGTAACGGTCTTCAATAAAACTATGAAAACATAAGTCTCTCTCTATATATAGATGCTTTGTTTTCTTTGTATTATCGTACAGCTAAATCATTACCCTAATGCTAATCAGTAATAATGATAACTTGTAGATGTAAAATTTTGCGTAATCTGGCATTATAAGTGAAGTTTCTGAACTTGTCTTTTGATGTCAGAACTTCACGATGTTATGTAAATAATCACTGAAATCTAGCAACGTTAGATATCTGATCTAGTAGTCGGATCGGCGTTGTTGATACAATAATAACAGTGTGTAATATTATATCACGAAAAAAACCACATCATTCTTTACCGGCCCATTACATGTTTCCAGAAAAATGGTTGTTCAATAACATTTAAAAATTTTATTTTCTGATGTACACTGAAACCGTTAAGGGTCTTTTCTCTCAATGATATGGCTTATCAGATTACCTGAGTTGCAAAAAGGAAAGCTTTGGATGAAGCTATATTTATACCATCCGTTTAAGAGAAGACACTCGTTTCAACTAAGCCCTTTTTATTTGATAACCCAGCCGTCCTGATGATCCCCTCATTATTACATGAAAGGTCACACTGGTGACGGAATTGAATAGACAAGGCATAATTGTAGTGCTATGCATAGTAAAGAACAATATGATTTAACTTATTATTAGTCTCATGGTTATCTAATATCACACAAGTATGTTTCGCTAGCTAATACATTCCACGCCCTAAGACTTATTGTATAAAACATAACGGATGAAAATAATGTTGCTGTTTTTAACTCTCCTAAAAGTTTCTAAATATCACTCACCTACGTAAAGTTATGGCAAAATATTATACATATTTGATGCTGAGTGTATTTAAAACTGGTGTTCTGTAAGGGGACAATTATACTCGACTGTAGATCACAATTTGCTATAAACTCAGTAGAACCTAGCGAAAGTTTCAACGAATTATTCAAAACGAGAAAATCTACCTAATCGCAGACACCGAAATCTATACTTCCACTTGTCTAAGGCCTAACATTAGTTAAGCCTATATTCGATAAAGAGTTAACACTGTAAACTTGTGTACGTTTTTTACTTTAGTTTAATTAGAGATAAACATTACGGTACCTAATACTATCAATAAATAAACTTTTATTGTTATTCTACGATCTAAAGTTAGACTTTACTAAAAACTAAAGTATATTTACATCCGCGTTTTATTTATATCCGTTGAAATTAAGTGCGCGCGCATGCGCATTTAGATAATAAGGTATAAACTTTTGGGGCTTTACTATACGACTCGAAATTAACCTGGAAAACACATGTAAACAAACACGAAAACAAAATCTGGAAGCGGGTGAACTACGTCAGGAGTCTGTTTGGAAATAACACAGGCACATCACAGAGAACACATATTAAATATCTATTAATATAAACAATACATACGGCCGGTAATCTGATATGTTGCCCGGCTTGGACTAACGTTACACCACACATAATTATACAGAAATTACAAACTATACAAAACTCAGTCCTCATTACATCATATATAGTTCCACTCACAACAAGTTTAGTTTTCGTACACAATTATGTGGACATACAGTCACTCTAGGACAAATTCCTATATAGATCGGTCACCTACTTCTAGAAAAACTTAAATAAAAACGAACTAGTTCGTTCACTATATCATACATGATGGAAAAAAAAATCCTCTCCCCTATTAATATGTACTATAAGTATAGCAATCAACCACCCAATGGTAGACTTACTTAACCATATCATTTGTGTGATGTATTCACTATGTATTATTATGGTATTAATGTTAAATAAATACTAAATATATGGAATACATGGGACTATTTATGTAATGTAAGACTGTCTACATTCCAAATGAAACAGTGTGTGTGTCGGTGTAATTCCTCAACGTTGAACATAAATGGGCATGACAATGATTCACTATCATAATTACATTACCCCTTTGAGGAATTACACATGAGGGTTCTGTATTTATGTAAGTTCTGTATTTATGTAAGTCACTATCATAATTACATTACCCCTATCATTGTCATGCCCATTTATGTTCAACGCCCTCATGTGTAATTCCTCAACGTTGAACATAAATGGGCATGACAATGATAGGGGTAATGTAATTGTGATAGTGAGTTACATAAATACAGAATCCTCATTTATGTGATGTTTAGCATTTAAAAGTGCTCTTAATTTAACGGTGCCGACTTAAACGGATCACAGCATCAGTGCCCCCGGATCATGACCAAGATCTACCAAACTATCATAACAGATAAGTTAACCTAAGCAGTGTTTCTCTAGCGTGTTGGGTCAAGTATGATTTGCATAATCTTTAAGATGCCATTCCATTACACCCTTAAATTTTAAAAATCTGAGGTTTCAACATTCCAGAGAAGAAATATTTTAGTTTCTATTCTTTTGTGATTACGTTTTCCAAATTTTTTTATGACCGTTTTTACCTTTTCCATTTTTGATAGATGTAGAGCATATGTATCATGAGCCCGAAACTGCATGAATCTCATGTTGCTGGATTGACTGAGTTCTGTAATTATTCGTACGCTAGGAAAAAGTCTGGAAAGTAAACGATACATGACAATTTAGACTTAGACTTCAAAATAATTTATCTTGACACTGAGCTCTGTTATTTTTCATAAGTTCTAATATTGTTAGGAAGAACAACCAGAAAAAAAATAATAAGAACAATACAACAATTAGTTATTGAAGGATACTACTCATTTGTTTTTGTCATTTAAATTTTGGCATAACCCAGAGTAAACAAAACTGTGAAATGTCTATTGGAATATAATACGATTTTATACATACCTAAGATAACGTTTCGTACTTTTTGTCTCTAGCCACACTTGCAATTAAAAGAAAAAATATTTTTTCACGAAACATCTATTCTGTCTTATCCATCAATGGTAGTTTCATGAGATTTACCCACTCCGATTTTTACTTTCACAAATGATAAACATATCACAAGATCTACACATATATATCATCACTAACACTATTTTTGATGCATTATCATCTGTTTAAAAACAGTACTTAAAACAGAGATATATAAAACAAATGTCAGATTGATTTTCGTGTTAAATCTTAGGAATTCATAATCTTAGAATTCTAGATACTAAAGCTAAAAAAAGGGTTAACTTTGTTTTTCCTTTTAAACTGTAAAATGTTTAATAATGTATACTAAAGATATTTCCATGTACATTACTGAACATAAATAAATAACTTATTCACAGAAACAAAATTGCGATCAGCAATAGATATTGAATCAATGTGAGAAGTTATCGGAAACAATTTCTTCTTAACTTAATAATCACCTGACAGACAACTGGCTATATTTGAAGCTAATAATTCTTTTGAAGGCTAAAATATTCTGTTTATTTTGTGTAACAAAATTATCTTACGCATTGAAAAAGTGAGTTCCAAAAAATTGTAAAATTTAGGTAACGCCACTCAACTGCGTAAGAATTTGTGTTTTTGAATTTCGCGCAAAGCTACACGAGGGCTATCTGCGCTAGCCGTCCCTAATTTAGCAGTGTAAGACTAGAGGAAAGGCAGCTAGTCATCACCACTTTTTTACCAACGAATAGTGGGATTGACCGTCACATTATAACGCCCCCACGGCTGAAAGGTCGGGCATGTTTGATGTGACAGGGATTCGAACCCGCGACGCTCAGATTGCGAGGGGGGCGTCTT